AAAAAAAATAAGAAGGAATTCAATATTTTAATGATCAAAGAGTATCGTCACTTTGTTATTCATTATACTCTATCAGACCATGACAAAGTATTTTAACGCACAGGGATAAGGAGAACATATGAAAAGCAGTTGCTTTCTTCATAAAATGTAAAATGTTCAGGGCCCTTTTGTAAGCAATCCTAAAATTCTTTATACTTTGTCATCACCAATTAATTGTATATAATTGTGCAACCAAAACACCCTCAAATTTTAGCATAGCAAAGGTACAGTTATCCCCTTGGAAGTCTGTCCTTCTCCTTATCTTCCTTGATGTTTTCATCTGGGATATCAATTTTTCACTGAAGAAAGTCTTCATGTGACTGGATCTGAAGTATCCAAGAGGTATTAGCAGCTAGTTCAACACGTCAGTCACGCTTTGTGGTAGGCACTTTCAAGATGCACAAATATAAATTACTGTTAATCTGCTGGCAGCTACCTTTTGACAATTTCGTTCAGCAACTACATTCGATCACAGTTTACTACTACTTAAGAGACATGCACGTTAAGGTTGTTTGCAAACATTAACATTCACTTGTCCTTTCATGTGTAATAAACTGAGCATTTTCATTTGTATGTTCATCTGCTTCTTCCACAGGGTTCTTTTCCTGTATTCCACTATTTTCTGAGCAAGTATCTTCATCTTCCTCATCTCTAGGATGACCTTCAAGACTATGTCTGATGCCATATGCAAAGTAAATAAAGAAGCCTTCCAAAACAAAACAAAAAAAACTTAATAGTTTTTTTCAGGCAAACAGTGCATTAAAAGAGATTCCCAACCCCCCAGGATAACTGAACCCGTTTACCTGAACAGTTCCCTGCCTCTGGCATGCAAATTACTACTAGTTCTTCAGGCCTTTGTGCCTGGTAATTTCCCTACATTAAAGACAACTGGCAGTGCTGGGCCCCAGTGCAACATTTCTAATTCCCAGTCATTTGCGTATGCTCTTAGCTGCATTGGTAATGGTGAGTGCTGCCTGTAATTCATGACTGCAATACAAGTTTGGAGCACCAAAACTGACTTTGCAGTTAATGTATATTTCTACAATTCTAAAGTACTGCAGTTCAGAGGAGAATGATAGAGTAGTAGGAAATAGATACAGTAGTTGCAAATACTCCTCTCTCTACAATTTTGACTATAATTATTAGAAAAATATTGATCTTGATTTTACATATTTTTCTCCCCATGTTTTCTGGTCTGGCTTACAAACACACAGTCTGTACCAACTTAAGTAAATTGATTTAGGAACTGAGCTAGTTAAATCAGTGCAACCTCTTCTTGTGAATACTCTTAAATTGGTTTAACCAACTTAAGCTACATCAATATAAAGCACTTTCTTAAACCAATTTAAAAAACTGTCCATATAAATGATTTGCACTGATTTAACTAACTCAGTTTCTAAACCAATTTGGTTAAAATCAGTGCTACTGGTATGTGTGTGTGAACAAAGCCTACATAGATTTCTCATTCTCTACCACATTGAATCTCAGCTAACCTTTCAGGAGCATTTTGACACAACAACCACTTTCAGCTCTCATTTTGTATTTACCATAGGGTGACCAGATAGCAAGTGTGAAAAAATGGGATGGGTGGGAAGTAATAGGTACTTATATAAGACAAAGCCCCGAATATCGGGACTGTTACTATAAAATCAGGACATCGGGTCACCCTAATTTACCAAAACAAATCCTGAGAATACGTTAAATATTCCCTGTTTGGATTTTGTATCACAAAGTGAGTTGAAAGTGCTGCCTCTGAAATAGAGTAGGCAGGCAGAAAAGATTTACCAGACTTAACGTTAATGCTTTCCAGGCCTACATATACATCACCTCTATTTGGAAGAGAGCAGTAAGCTAACTGGAATTAGTCCTGTAGCTTTTACAATTCCTGCTACATCACAACTGCTTGTGCAGTTTTAGTAGCAGATGCATACATCTTCTGAGGTATGTTTTTGTTTTGACTAGTGATATCATTTGACATTTATTGAAAAAAAGCTTTTTATTTGAATAGTTAAAAGAAGATGATTAACTCATTCCTAGAAAGAACCACAAGAGAGGACCCATCAATCCTAATGTAAACAGTTGTTATAAAGTACCTACCAAAAGCCATCCAAAAGCTAAATCTGATCCAAGTCTCTCCACTTAACTGTACCATCAAGTAAATATTCACCAAAATACTGAAGGACGGCAAAAATGGCAAGAATGGAACCTAAGGGGAAATAGTTTATAAGATAGTAATGTTTTTCAAACCTTTCTGCACACTAAATGGCACATTTCAATTTTGTAACACAAATAAAGGGACTGACAGACCCACTCACCAGTGAGAGTAAGAGACTTTTCCTGTTTAGTGTAAGGTTTAATCACTAGTTTCTGCAAAACTTATGCTTTCATTTAAAAAAAAAGTTTTGGTCCCTACAGCTGCAAAGAAAACCTTGTCAATTTGCACTGAACATACAGCAATGCAGTGCTGAATTCCTGAATTAATCTAGGTGGGCAGCCTGAAACAATACTTATTTTATTGATTAAAATTTATATTCAACAGCCTTTACCCACAGCTCTCAGCACACTTTATAAAAAATTAAAAAGGATAACATGCCTCAATAAAAAAGCACACTCAATTTATATCCCTGTCCTTCCCAATCACCCTACCAAATAGCTTCCCATACCTCATCCCATCACTCAGCTCATCTCCACTTTCCTAACTGCCCATTACAAAAAAATCCTTGTAGTGTATGTGAAAGACTTATTCATGCTCCAAGGAATCATGACACACAGTCCAAGCAACTGGGTTTTTGTGCTAAACTGCTCCTCCAGGGCTGGGAGGAAGGAACTCTTCCCTCTAAGTTACAGGCTCTGTAGTAGTGAAGCCATTCTTCAACTGCTATCCCAACCTGAGGGCTGAAATAGCCTCTCTGCTGCTTGCCCCAGCACCCCCAAGTGGTAGGGAATAGCTGGTGGATCTATGTATTAGGCAATTTACCAGCCATATCCAACAAATCAGTGGTGTGAAAGGGGTATGGACGGTGCACCCTATGCAAGGCCTCCTCATCCAGTCTGCAGTGAAATCATACCAGAACTGATCTGAGACAGTCTAGACAATGTGGTGGTAAAAATGCCTATGACCTGTCTACACTAGCACTGTCACTATCACCAATGGAGGTACAATAGTGCAATGGTGAGGCATTGTCTGAAAAACACAAGCATAGACACAGACACACACACACACACGGTTTTATTAAAACAAATTTAAACTCTGCATTATTTATGTTATCTTACTCACCATAAAGGCTACTTTCTGCTGGCTCTGAGGCTGCCTCCATATGGTGAGAACAATGACTATGAAGAGTACTACCAACACAGCAAGAAGACCAATGCTCCAAGGCTCCATATTAGCAATAAAATGAATCCCATATGTGGTCAGAACACTCAACCCACACACCAGAAAAGCTGTGTGAAAAAGAAAATAAGAATTGGAAGGAAGTCAAACCTTTCCAAACTGTTTAAATAAACACGCAACTTAATCTGATAAAGCAGATCTTTACCAATAGAGACATTATCAGATGTTAAAATGAAAAAAGTCTGTTTTGACAAGAAAACACTTTATTTTGCCTTATTTTTGACTGAAGGAAAATAAATAAGATTATGGAACAAACTATAAAATCTGTTTTCCTACCAGAATACTTCATATTTGACATTTGTGAGAAGGTACTCTAAGATGTTACCATTGGATTTGAACTTTTGTTCTGCTTAATTAAATTCCACTATTTATGGAACTTGATTTGAATGTATTGTACTTATTTGGGTATCTGTAGACTTACCTAATAGACCCACCAAAAAGCTAACGGTAGTGGCAGACTGCTCTGTAGGCAAACTGGATGGATTCATCAATGTCTGAAGACTGAAGCGGTGCCCTTGAAGCATACTAATTTGAGATTCCCTCTCTGATCCTGTCAGAGCCTCTTTCTCTGGAGAATATTTTGGTTGCTCATAGGTTAAGTTGGGTTGGTACCTATCCACAAATAAATAGGTATTTATATACAAGACTGTAACAAGTAAAGAAGTTAAGCTTGTGGTGGGGGTTGAAGGAGGATGGTTATAAATACCACAGCAATCTCCAATGATTCCACTCTACACCAGTAGCTACAATAAAAAATAAATTCTGCCCTTTCAAAATTCGTGTGGCATCCCTTCTATCTTCTTTTATTTCTAGGTAGTCTACTTAATCTCTAAATTCTCTGCAAAGGGGCCTATCGTCCAACACCACCTGCCATACTGGGCACTAACATATATAAAACAATAAAGGAAGATTACACCCTGGTAACCTGGTTTCCCATAGCCTGGACTTTCACAGTTTAGAATGGAACAAGAGAAACACATAAGAACTGTATGCAGTAGGAGCTCTCAAACTGGGAATCGCAGACAGGTGTTGTGGGGGAGTGGGGTCATAATCACCCTTTCCTTTCCATTTTGCTAAATGGGAGGGTAATCCTGAAGGAGTCGTGGAATGGAAAAGACTGAGAACCACGGGTATAGAGGATACTACTAAAGGTAATATATTCTCTTAAAAAGTTAACAATTACAGATCACCATTTTTACAAAGCTAACACCATGTCTCCTAAGATTTTCTGCGATAATAATAAACAAGAAGAGGCTTTTTAATTTATTTTTTAACTATACTGTGGGAGGCAGTTGTTTTTCAGCAAATATATTTATAATCTAAATAGAAAACAAAACACAATACAAAAGCCCTTCATGAGATAAAGGAAAGAGATAGAAGAGGATTTCTTGAAATACAGTAGGTCTTTTCAATAAACTTTCACTGAGATGAGCATGAGGCAGTCTATAGAAAAAAACACTACGAAACATACTGATTGAATAAGGCTGAAATTTAACACCAACTTTGGAAGGAATGTAACGTTTTTATATACATGCAACCTTACTACGGGATAGAGCATATTCTCCTGTGAGTGATAAACTAGATGAATTTAAGTTACTATTGTCAGAACTATTGTTACATTTTTCAAAATTACCAGTTTGAGTTCCTCTGACTACTTAATTAGTTTTAACCTTCATTTATTGCCCCAACTACCAGCAATACACACAATTAAAAAAACCTGTCTTATGCATTGTAATACCAATGTATCATTGTTATTCAGTTACCTTACATTAAAAATACCTTTAGATTAGCTGTAATTATAGACAAGTGTCACCTATTATATCAGTGGCTCTCAACCTTTCCAGACTACTGTACCCCTTTCAGAAGTCTGATTTGTCTTGCGTACCCTCAAGTTTCACTTCACTTAAGAACTACTTGCTTACATAATCAGACAAAAATACAAAAGTGTCACAGCCACATTATTACTGAAAAATTGCTTCCTTTCTCATTTTTACCATATAATTATAAAATAAATCAACTGGAATATAAATATTGTACTTGCATTTCAGTGTATAGTACAGGGGTCGGCAACCTTTCAGAAGTGGTGTGCCGAGTCTTCATTTATTCACTCTAATTTAAGGTTTCGCGTGCCAGTAATACATTTTAACTTTTTTAGAAGGTCTCTTTCTAAAAGTCTAAAATATATAACTAAACTATTGTTGTATGTAAAGTAAATAAGATTTCAAAATGTTTAAGAAGCTTCATTTAAAATTAAATTAAAATGCAGAGCCCTCCAGACCGGTGGCCAGGATCCAGGCAGTGTGAGTGCCACTGAAAATCAGCTCATGTGCCGCCTTCGGCACGCGTGCCATAGGTTGCCTACCCCTGGTATAGTATATAGAGCAGTATAAAAAAAGTCATTGTCTGTATGAAATTTTAATTTGTACTGACTTCACTAGTGCTTTTTATGTAGCCTGTTGTAAAACTAGGAAAATATCTAGATGAGTTGATGTACTCCCTGGAAGACCTCTGCGTACACCCAAGGGTGTGCGTATCCTTGTTGAGAACCACTGTATTAGATCACAAAAGGAGCACCATTCTATAGCTTATAAGGATGCCTTGCCTTGAGACATTTCTCTGACCTTGTCAAAGGCTTTCTGAAAGTCTAAATACACTGTATCCAGGTCCATCTTGCCCAGTATCCTGTCTTCCGACAGCGGCCAATGCCAGATGCCCCAGAGGGAATGAACAGAACAGGTAATCATCAAGTGATCCATTCCCTGTCACCCATTCTCAGCTTCTGGCAAACAGAGGCTATGGACACCATCCCTGCCCATCCTGGCTAATAGCCATTGATGGACCTATCCTCCATGTATTTATCTAGTTCTTTTATGAACCCTGTTATAGTCTTGGCCTTCACAACATCCCCTGGCAAGAGTTCCACACACTGACTGTGCGCTGTGTAAAGAAATACTTCCTTTTGTTTGTTTTAAACCTGCTGCCTATTAATTTCATTTGGTGACTCCTAGTTCTTGTGTTATGAGAAGGGGTAAATAACACTTCCTTATTTACTCCACAACAGTCATGATTTTATAGACCTCTATCATATTCCCCCTTAGTCTACTCTTTTCCAAGCTGAAAAGTCCCAGTCTTATTAATCTATCCTCATATGATGGCCGTTCCATACAAATAATCATTTTTGTTGCCCTTTTCGGAACCTTTTCCAAGTCTAATATATTCTTTTTGAGATGGGGCAACCACATCTGCATGCAGTATTCAAGATGTGAGTGTACCATGGATTTATATAGAAGCAATATGATATTTTCTGTCTGATTATCTATCCCTTTCTTAATGATTCCCAATATTCTGTTCGCTTTTTTGACTGCCACTACACATTGAGTGGATGTTTTCAGAGAACTATCCACAATGACTCCAAGATCTCTCTCTTGAGTGGTAACAACTAATTTAGACCCCATTATTTTATATGTATAGTTGGAATTATGTTTTCCAATGTGCATTACTTTGCATTTATCAACACTGAATTTCATCTGCCATTTTGTTGCCCAGTCACCCAGTTATGTGAGATCGCTTTGTAACCCTTCACATTCTGCTTTGGGCTTAACTATCTTTAGTAGTTTTGTATCATCTGCAAATTTTGCCACTTCACTGTTTACCCCTTTTTCCAGATCATTCATTAATATGTTGACTAATACTGGTCCCAGCACAGACCCCATGGGGGACATCACTATTTACCTTTCTCCATTCTGAAAACTGATAATTTATTCCTACCCTTTGTTTCCTATCCATGAGAGGATCTTCCCTCTTATCTCATGACAGCTTACTTTGCTTAAGAGCCTTTGGTGAGGGACCTAGTCAAAGGCTTTCTGAAAACCTAAGTACACTATATCCACTGGATCCCCTCTTGTCCACATGCTTGTTGACCCCCTCAAAAAATCTAGCAGATTGGCGAGGCATGGTTTCCCTTTACAAAAATCATGTTGACTCTTCCCAACAAATTATGTTCATCTATGTGTCTGACAATTCTGTTCTTTACTATAGTTTCAACTAGTTTGCCCGGTTCTGAAGTCAGGCTTACCGGCCTGTAATTGCTTGGATCATCTCTGGAGCCCCTTTTAAAAATTGGTGTCATATTAGCTATCCTCCAGTCATTTGGTACAGAAGCTGATTTAAATGCTAGGTTACAAACTACAGTTAGTAGTTCTGCAATTTCATATTTGAGTTCCTTCAGAACTCTTGGGTAAATACCATCTGGTCCTGGTGACTTATTACTCTTTAATTTATCAATTTGTTCCAAAACCTCCTCTAATGACACCTCATTCTGGGACAGTTCCTCAGATTTGTCCAGACCTTGCTGATTCTGGATTGGGCAAATCCCAAGCATCTGTTTTCAGTCTCCTAACTTATTGATTCACAAGATGAAAATACACTAGAAGGTCAGGATTTAACCCATGAAGAAAATTTATTAGAGTATTTACACTATTCACATATAGATCCCACAATTTACTGTACTTGCTGTATACACTAGGAGATAAAATATAAATTATATTGTAAAATTAGAAATATGTTTCTAGCTTTGAATGTATCAGTGTTTTGACATGAGGTCCTACTACACCATTTGAAGTTGAAGACCATGTAAGTTATCTTTCAGAAAGTAAAACCCTCCTAGATTTCAAATAAGGTTTTGGATTTGACCTCTGCCCACACTGGCATTACACTGTGTCTATTCCTAGTGTCTATCCAACTTTGAAAGGACACCACTTCTGGTAATCATTAAATTAAGACACCACACACAGATTAACATTTTAGAAGAGTTAGCCTAATTTTACAATATGTATGTACCTAGAATAAAAGTTATACAAACAGAAATTGTATTTTAAATGTATTCTGCATAGGACAAAATAAAATACAGCAGAACAAACAGGGGGGTGAAGGTGGGGCTCACCTGAGGATGAGAACACAGGCTGCTACAAGGGAGTAAGCAAGAAGTGTACCAATAGACATCATATCCACCAGAGCCTTTAGGTCAAAAAGAAATGCCATTATAGCTAAAAAAAAGAAGAGAGAAATACAGAGTTTGTATGAAAGTTACATATTGAGAGTTAAGATTTTTAAGGCAGCTCAAGAGGCTATGTATGGAGTTTATGTAGTTGAGTTACTAATAGTAATACAAATGAAACCATGGTAATGCATAAAAATGAATTTTCGAAGTAAAGACCCAAATTTTTAAACTTGGTTGCCTGGAGTTAGACAACTAACTCTATATGTAGGCACTGAAATATAATTGGTATCTTTTCAGTGACCCTGAGCACCTATAGCTCTCACTGTGGTTGCTCAACACATCCTGAAAATCACATTTATTTGTGTACCTAAACAGGGATTTAGGTGCCTACTAACTTTAGGCAACCAAGTTAACAAATTTTGGCCTACTTTTTTGTTTTAAAATATAAGACACCCGGAGAACATTTAGGAAACACTAATGAAAACCTTGCAGCCATAATTCTCTATATACCTGCTGTGTGATTTTTAATATGGTTATTTTGGACATATATTTAGTTGTATAGTAGGAATAGTTCTTAAGTTTAAGACAAAGGGGTAAACACAATACAATTAGGAAGGAACATAATGAAAAATACAGTTTAGGAGGCCCCTCACTGCTGTCATGTAAAAATGTCATCATTTTCAACTATGAAAACTGATATTTAACATAACCTTTAGTAAAAACATTTCTCACTTAAAAATATAACACTTTATTTTTACTAAGGTATTGTAGAAAATTTTGGAGAATATTTAATTATCAAAGAGCCAGATCCTGCAAGCGTGCTGTGCATAGAACTCCTACTCAAATTCTACAGGCTGAGGGCTTGCATGGTCAGAGCCTGAAACCACAAGCTGACAGTGGGATCCAATCTACTGACATGCACGTGGATCCAAGACAGACTGGATCAGGACTTTAATCTATAACCGGTACATGTAATTTGTATGTACTATGGCCCTAATTCAGCAAACCACTTGAGAACCTGGTTAAATCCCATTAAGCTGAATTGGAGCCGATAGACAAGAGTAAGTCCATTTAAATGTTAAATCAGGCTGAATAAAATCTTAGTATTTTGCAGGTGATTGCATGACTTTTTAATAAACAGCATTGTTTTAAAAGTGGCTTATTTTACGCCTTCTTTGGCAAGGCAACTTCACTGTGACTTCCAATGTGTTTCTTCTTCTAGCCTTAGCCCCATCTAGATGGGATTGACTGTTTGAATCCTCCTTCTCCTTTCCAGTTTGCTTGAAGCAGATCCTCAGAAACGTCAGAGCTAACCAGATCCTTCTGTATGACATCAATCCATCTAGTTTTGGGTCTTCTAATCCTCCTCTTAAACTTAGAAGTGGAGGGTAACACCCTGTTTTTAATATATTCTTCCTATTATCTTTTCATATGCCCAAACCATCTACACCTGCATTCTGTCAGCTGTTCTATAATTGATATCACCTTCAAACCTCCCCTAATTCATTCATTCCAAATATGGTCAATCCTAATAACTCCAAGCATCCCTCTTAACATTTTCATTTCCCTTGTATTCAAAATCCTTCCTTCAACGTCTCTTCCTCAGTGTCCAACATTCAAAGCCATACAAAAGTACAGGCCTAATTACCATCTTATATATCTTACTTTTCAATTTGATAGGCTTCCTCCTATTGCAGATCATTCTGCTCAGCTCTCTCCATGCCTTTCCTGTTCTGCGTATAAGTTCATCACTGAGTTTACCATTATCCTGTACTACCAAACCTAGGTACTTGAACTTCTGTACTTTTGGTAGTGGCTGGCCCTCCACACTTTATAGACCCGTTGTCTTCCTGCAAGTTACTCTATTTCTGCTGATCTTCATGCCATTTCTTTCAAGTATGCACCTCCATCTCTCTAAATCTTCTTCCGCTTCCTCTTTACTCCCTCCACAAGCACTTCATCATCTGCAAAAAGAATGCGCCAGGGTGCCACTCTGGATGTTCTCTCTAAGTGCATTGAGCACTAACATGAACACAAAGGGGCTTAGTGCCAAGTCTTGATGTACTCCAACTCCTACTAGAAACTGTTCAGTTTCTGACTGTGATAAAAACACCCTTGTACATGTCCTGGAGGAGTCTGATATAGTCTTAGACATCTGTTTCATTCCCATACACCAGATGCCTTCTCTCAGAATGTGGTCATAAGCCTTCTCAAGACTGATGAATACTATGTACGGGGTTTTCCTCTTTTCTCTATATTTTTACACAAGCAAAGATAGCATCCACTGTTTTATTGACTTGCCTGGCATGAATCCAAAGTGACTGTCACTGATCTTTACTTCTCTTCATAGTCACAGTAAATAAATTGTGTGTGTATATGCTAATGAATGCATTATTTTTATATTACGTGTGTGTGTGTGTGTGTGTGTGTGTGTGTATAGATAGATACAGATATAGATCTATAAAAAGCATATACACCTCCCCACCTTCTTGATTTTATATATATTACACACACACACACACACACACACACACACACACACACATCTTTTTGATCATGAAGAAAAACAGAAAAGATTAATTCCCAAAAATAAGACTGCAATATTACCAAAAATACCAGTTAATCTGCTGGACTAATAACTAACCAAGGAATACAATTTCCTTAATGATCATGGAAGCACCCTACATTCACTAGTCTTGTGAACAGGGAAGTTTGTACAAAAGCTATGAAGCATTCTGTGAGAAGATTTCTCATATATTTCACTGCCAAGGGTGCTCGTAGACCAGCACTGACAGGCAAAGCTAAGGGACAGCAGAATGTGCATATGTTAATTTTAATCCTTCCAGTCTTAAAGTGTTCCTGTACATTACAAGTTAATTTTATCATACTCTAGCTAATTATAGCATATGATTATTATATTTAAAATATTACAGTTTTTTACTTTGTATTCTTTTTAATTATAGCATTGTTTGTGATCAACAAGATGCGTGACTTTACGGCCAAGAAACTTTTGAAAAAGAATCTGCTTTTGAAGGTTAGCCACATTAGTATTTATACAGTACATCTCAAATTTCTGAATACACTAGTGGCAAGACAGAAAATAGTACATCTTTAATATTGTTAGCACCATGAATGTAGAACATATATTCATTTTGGCAAGGTAATTAAATATATTTATATTATCTGATGCAATCTCCATATTTCCCTTTCCCTTATATATGAAAAGCTTATGCAGAGTTTAAAGGATGTTGAGCTTTGAAGCACACAAAGCATCCACAAAAAGACAATCTCACTTTAAACAGTGTTAAAACTACCAAATATATGCTTGGAGAAAAATACTATCAAAATGGACACACGCTTATATTTATTGTATTCAAAATTTTAATATATATAGTTCATACAGATGAATTTTTTCCCCTTAGTAGATATAAAAATAGCAAACAACTATAAATCTTTTATATAATCGATGCTTACTCAACTTCTAACCATTACTTATCAGAAGAGAAGCCAAACCTGTCACAAAATAGTTGGAAACCAGAAGCTAAACTTTGTTGATTCATTTTAGGTGCACATCCCACGTTGTTGCATTAAAGTGCAAATACAATTCAGGGAAGTATGCAGCACTACAAATCCATTAGGCTCATTAGGCTGCTGCCTTTGATAAAATACGATTGGACTGTAAGCGAACCATTTTGCTGTCTGAAGAATTTCATTATCATAATTATTATATGGGAAAAAGAACAAATGCATGTAATTATGTTTGGCCTCAACTGTAGTTTTGACTTGATAACATAGTAAAAGGTCAAAATCTAATCTTCTTAACACTGTTTAAAACTGTGAGACTATCCATGCTAAGATTTAGTAGGAATGCCAGATTACTTTCATGCTGCATTCATTTTTAACAGATCTAGCAAAACTGCATAATATAATTTAAACCTACAAGTTACTAGATACACATTTTCTTAAAGAAAAAAGAAAAAAAAGTTACCTGCTGTATCAAAAAGTTTTGTTCTGTTAGAATAAACCACCCACCTATACAAATACACCCCCAAAACTGGCTTTGAATTACTGCTCTTGTGCTGCTGCTACAAAGACTGCATATTTGCATTCATCAATTTACCCAACTGGGAAAAACATTTTTCCTTCTCTTCTTCTGCGTCGGTTCATTATTCCTCTAAAATGAAAAATCACTTTTGATACCAGATTTCCACATTTTTCCAAAATATTACAGAAAAAGGATCTGGTGCAACATGAAAGCAGTCTGGAAAATCTTATTAAGTGTCTCTTTATAAGAGTAATTCCGTATTATAGATTTGTACTTTGACATACAAAAAAGATGAATTAAGGCCATTTTTTAGATTATGAACTATTTGGGGCATGACCATGGCTTCCTATATGTTTGTAAAGCTCTTTGAACAAAAGGGTCTCGACCATGACTATGGCTTGTAGATGCTACAGTATGATAAATAATAAATACATGTTTTAGTCTTGTCTGAATCTCTTGGTCTTTATCATCTTGAGCCAGTCTACCCCCACTTTTCCATGCAAAGCTGACATTACATTGAAATCAGTAGGGTATAATTTGTGTTCCAGGTACATTAAGCAATACAAGAGATATGCATCTTGACAACAATGAAAGAGTTAAAAAAGAAATAAATCTCCGCTTGGAAGTGTAGGAATTTGCACACTACACTTGTAACAGCTCCTGGAAATATTGCTTTGATGCATTCTGTATGTGTGTACGTACACAAATACGTAATGATCCTTTCAAAATAGCTGTATCAAAAATGGATTCGTGCCCTTTATGGGTGAAGAATGTGTAAAATTTCTTCTTTTTAAAAACCGTTTTGTAGTTGCCTTACTAAAGATTATTCAAGATTTCTTTTTTTGTATCCTATAGCAAAAATACATTCCCCCCTAGTATTTCTAAACAATTAAATACATTAATCTTGAATTAAAATTTCCTATACCCAAGCCTCATAACAGAGCATAGTCCAATGGCTGAGTTATAAAGACAGTTTTATTCCAGATGCCGCAAAGTAAATAACTGTTTTGTTTGTAATGCAAGAGAAGCCAAACTTAGAACGCACAAAAAGTTGCAAGTTCATTGACATCAAGGACATCACCGCCACCACGATTGCCATGATTTGGAATTCTTATGCCCTTCAATTAGTCAGCAATTTTATTCCCAACTTACATGCATGAGAAGTTAACAAGCAGGCCCTTCTTATATTCCATGCACGTGCATACAAGGTTCAAATCCCAGTTTGAAGAAACCTATGTTTTCAGAGCTTACCAGAGATGACCCCTGCTGTCAATGTGGCAGCAACTGGTGTCTGCCTCTTACTCACTTTGGCAAGAAACCTAAACAGTAAACCATCTCGTGCCATGGCAAACAGAATTCGGGGCAGAGGGAACATAGAGCCGAGAAGACTAGAACAGAAAAATTTAAAGTTCAAATACACATTATTAAAAGCACTGTGTTCTACTGGTAAAGTCAACTAAAATGGGAAGCTAGGAAAAGCTTATTTTCATGTTGTTTTGTTCTTTTGAACCTGTGCTTCCAAAGCACTTGAGATTAACACAAACAAATACACTCTGTGGTAGGAAAAAGGTTATTTTACCTTGAGACAATCATATTTTATTCTTTCAGTCAAAAGCAAACCAAAACTTGCCTGACAGTATTGGATTTCCACATATGCAATGTGTGAAGCAGTGCACCTTTCCTTACAATAATCAACTCTCAGTCTCACCTGCTACTGCACCCGATGACAAAGTAGCAATAACTGGAGTCTTCGTTTTGGAATTGATTTGAGCTAGACATTTGAAAAGCAACCCATCTTCCGCCATAGCATAGATTACACGTGGCATTGGGAAAATGGATCCAAGAAGACTGAGTAAAAAGCAAACACATGCAACATGGCAAAACACAATTCATGCAAGGTTATATCATCGAAAAGAGAAACAATGCTAATTAATGGCATGTTTCACTGAAAACAAAATTTATGATGGTAAAAATATTATAGACCAAAGATACTACAGTTTGGACACAAATAGATTTATTTTGTTTCTGAAAACCACTAGAAGTTTTGTTCACAATTCTGTGGTAATGCAATTGCTTCACTGGAAACAGTAGTAAAATAGCTAAACAACTTTTGCCATCACTGTAGATCTTGGGATACTAGTGGACCAGGGGGATGGCCCTGGTAACACTAGCTATGCAATTAAGCATTATTGTTCCTTGAAAGATTCTGTCAGTCAGCAACAGTGAATCACACAAGCAGTAACACATTCTGCAGCTCCTTATGACAATGTTAATCAATAGTAACTCAAAGTAAGCACCACACAGTTTACACTTAACCCTATTATTTCTTTCAGTTAAAGCACCCAGAGCCAAGCTACCTTATTATTCCTGGTTTTATTTAGGGACTGAAGGTAAACTATTTATTTTAAACCGTTGATATTTTCAGAATTTGAAAAGCATTTTGAACTACAGATGACTCAAAGCTCCTTCTGTATTTAAAACATTTAAAATTTGTCGGGTTTCTTCCCTTCACATCAAAATAACCATACTAACAACCCCCACCCAAACAAATAAACAAAAAACCCACACAGTATAGCCTCTGCAACAGCCATATAACTTCTTAGCCAGCTGAAACTGAGGTTTTACTATACAGCCAGTTTGCCTTTCTTGCTACAGAGAACTGAATACATCACCTACATATATTCAGTGGATGTGCAGTTTTTATGTTCCACAGAAGCTAAGCCACTTTAGCACTGCTTGTGAAATGTAGCATTAAAATTAAATGCATGTGCAGCACTACCAATCATTCACACTTTAACTGGTTTTGGTGCTGATTCAGGAAAGCACTTAAGTACCTACTCAAAGTTAGCATGTGCTTAAATGCCCGTGCCCAATAAAGATGCTTTCCTGAATCAGGGCCAAGAAATCTGAACTTGAAGAATAAGTAATATTTCCATACTGGTATCACCAAAATCTCTACATATTTTTATTGTACTGTCTTTGTAGAAGTTAATTATGCTTCTTCTCATCTTCAGACTGCATTCTGGTAAATATTGGAAATATATAAATACTGTAAACATTTTAATCTCAAATGACATGGCCCAGGAATAAGTAAATGTTCGGATCAAAGCAATACTCCCAACATATCAGCCTACAACACCGCCAAGTAAAGGAATTATAAGTAAAAGGGTTTTTTTTAATTAAAAACATTAAAGTGAGATATTACCCCTCTCAGAATAAACTTGGGTGTTAAAAACTTTAAAATACTTTGGAAGAAAAATTAGGAGATCAATAGTTAAAATGTGGTAACCAATGGTTTTACTTTCTAAAGTTTTCTTCTCCGTTACTATTTTCTTTGCTCTAGTTTCTATTTAAACATTTGCTTTTATATTTTATAAAATATTATAAAAATCATCAAACTGCTAGAATCCACTTCAGGCATCACTATAGAAAATTATAGTCCCAAAACTAACTGTACAAACACAACTTAGTCTATATACACAGGCCTAAGATTCTTTTAGCTTGTCATTTAGAGCTCTTTTCTTTTTTATAATCTCCCACCCCAGAGTTTTTCACTCAATTATTTTCCACAATCAGTATGCTTGTCTTCTATACATGACTACTCGTGGACTATCTCAATGACATCAACAGTACTCCTTAAATAGGCAAGCCTGCTTCTTTTTTAGGCCAGCTGTTGAAGCCATACATCTCCCACTTGAGGCCATTTAAACCACTCTAGTAATGTACATGAGCTCAGTTAGCAGAAAAGGAGAATATTAAGGCTGTTCCTAAATGTAAGTAAATAGGTTCTTATACCACATTACATGTGGGCTATAATATATGGGAAGATGCATGTACTATACATATTAATACATCTCACAATCTAGTCAACTCTTCTAACTAAAATAATATATTTGGTCACACTTTATATTAAGATTACATTTATAGTTTACCAATGATTATTTATTGATGGATGTTTTCATCAATTGTTATAGAGTCCAACAGGTTGTTTATAATTATGACTTACAATCACAACTCCTACAGATAGTTTATAATGATCACATACTACTCATGTCTGTAACATGCTTATAATATTTATTAAATGTTAACCCTTAAGAAAATGTAACCTTAATATAAAAAGTGTGACCATACATTGAAATATACTGTATTTTTCAATTATCTTATTTTCCAATAAAATTAGTCGTTTTTTCTTCTTTACCTTGTGGACAAAGCACAGAGGGATCCCACTGCTACAATATACTTTGCAGGACCCCATCCAACATATTCAAATGCTACAGGAAGAGGACTTTTCTCATCTAGAAGATAGTATGGCATCATAAGAGTCAAAGCTGCCGAAACACCAAAATAGGCCATAAAACAGACAAGCAGGGAAGTCACAATTCCAATAGGTATAGCTTTCTGAGGATTCCTGACTTCTTCCCCTATGGAGGAAAAACAAACATTCTTACTCATCTAGGAAAACTTTTGCGTCTTTTACTTTAATGTGCATCAACACACAGAAAAAGGTAAGTTTTGCAGTCTAAATATTAAGAATAATAGCTTTAATATTCCATATAGAGTAAAATCAGTGATACAGTATGTAACCCAGGACTTTGTGGCCAGCCACAGCACAAAAAATTAAGTTAAGCAAAATGACATTATATACGGAATTTTATCTATATATATAAAATTCCATATATAATGTCATATATATAAATAAAATACATATTTTACTTTAGAGAGGCCAAAATCTATAATTTTCCACTTATCAATACAATTAGTCTTTGGAAAGTTGCTCTGAAATGTCCCTAGCCTCTGTTTGCTAGAAGCTGGGAATGGGCGACAGAAGATGGATCACTTGATGATTACCTGTTCTGTTCATTCCCTCTGGGGCACCTGGCATTGGCCACTGTTGGAAGACAAGATACTGGGCTAGACTGACCATTGGTCTGACCCAGTGTGGCCGTTCTTATGTTCTCTGTGAACTGCCTGCACCATACCTTCCCCGAGGATAAGTAAGTTGTTGATCTTTTACTGTGTTGAGCTTCATAAGTATTAATTTCACATTAGTCTAAAAGAAGCTCTAAGGAATATGCAGCCTCTGAGTTTGTTTTTTCTAAAGCTACAATGAAGCTAGTTTAAAAAAAAAAGGCAAGATGCCTGCTATATGGGCTTAGCAGAAAGAGCTTGTGCTGATCAGTTTCACACTCTGCCATTGCAGCTAACTGCAGGCAAAGAGAATTTTATTCACACTGTAATGTTGTTTTTCTGTGGAATGAGAAAGCCACATTCAGGAGTGATCTCAGTCTCTTTCTAGACATGGTGATAGAGTTTAAGAGTAGAGATAGACAGACAAATACAGAGGCAGACAGGGACGAAGAGTAGGATATATATAGTTACACAGTTTGACCACCAACTTTTTACTTCAAATATATATATACACATACACAGAGAAAGAGAGAGAGAGAGAGAGAGAAACCTCATCTTACCAGTTGTTGCAATGCAATCAAATCCCACAAAGGCATAAAAACATGTTGCAGCACCAGCCAATGTTCCTGTAAAACCATATGGCATAAAACCACCAGCCCCAAATATGCTTGTCACGTTCTTATAGGAAGAATAATTTCTATAGAAAATTGAAATACAACAGAAAAAAGACATTTTTAATTAGCAGTAGAAGAAATCTAATAGTTTTTTATCCCCAGTAACTCTACATGAACTCTTTTAAAATGCAGAGTATTCTCAAGATAAGGATCTTTTTACAAAGCTCTCAGTACAAAATATCTTTGTAAGAAGTTTGAGATAAAGATCTTCTATCACCAGATATTCATTAACAACAGAAAAAACTGGATTATCAAATAAACATTATAAACCCTGGTCCTGCTCCCATTGGAAGTAATGGCAAAACACCCATTGACTTTAATGGTACAGGATCAGGTCCAATATCTTGTTGTTAATCACATCCTGTACTGCAGTTAAATAGCTATCTTTAAAAATATACACCGATAGTTTCCCAGGTAGCTAAGGCACAGATTACTAAAAGGCAAAAAAGTAATTAGTATAAAATTTAATTCTGTTTCGGGACACAAGTCTACATTTCCCAACAAAACAGTAAATCTAAACCTGTTGCTACAATGCATAGGATACCAGAGATGCATGTACAGCAGGAGCTGTCATCAGAAGCTGCTTAAAGTAGGACCAAGAAAAATGGAAGAAAATTGACAGATGAAAAGAAAAAGAAAAATTACCCTGTTTGTGCTGTGAGGTTTATGAGAGATTCTTCACTTATTTTCCAGTTGTCAGTATCTCCTTTCACAAAGCCAGAAATCATAACAAAGAGGAGAACCAAGATGTTAACAGCAGTGAAGATCTTATTCACCCATGCGGATTCTTTTACTCCAAAAGACAGAAGACCTATGAAATACAAGAGGGGATTTTAAAGAATTAACATCTCCTTTAGGGAGTAAAATAGCATCTTTAACAATGTATACATGATAATGTGACTAACACCAATTTCAGTATTTAGATAATGATACTAGATCTATGGCTTTTAGGTGTTAGTACTAGGTTAATGAGCACTTCGATACTATGATAGATACTGTATAAAAACTGTAAAATGGAGATTATTTTTAATCCTCTCTCCCTCCAAAGGTTGATGACTGTCTTCTTGACTGACATTAATTCCATTTCTTATCCAGCAGGCAAAAAATATATATGGGAAGTGTAGCTTACTTCTTTACTGTGCCCCCAGTCCATATGTCTATGTGTAGGATATAGTCTTGCAAGCATGTGTGTGAGTTAGCAAAAAAGAGAGGCATTCTCTCTCTCTGTAATTATTTGAATTCTCTGCCTACAGTACATATGGTTCAGGACCTGGCACCACGCTGATTTTTAGAATCTCATGTAGAATAGTAAAAAAAATTTAAATTTAGAATTTTTGATAAAATAAAAGTCAAACATTTCAAATGCATGTTTTTTCTTACATGTTTTGACCAGTTCTAATCTAATTTTATCAGTGCACATCCCAGCGCTGTCCCTAATTCCTAGAATAATGGGGCCATCCAGTAGGTCAGTGGTTTTCAATCTTTTTTTCATTTGTGGACCCCTAGAACATTTTGAATGGAGGGGCGGACCCCTTTGGAAATCTCAGACATAGTCTGCAGACCCTCAGGGATCCATGGACCGCAGGTTGAAAACCACTGATACAGATTATTAAAATAATTAAAGGACATCCATCAATTTAGCTCCTAAACAACTTTGATTTAGAGAGTTTCTTGATCTTTTGTATTGTTGGGCAAATCAGGATATAAAATAAATGTATCTCTATATAGCAGACTATTCTGTTTGCACAATCTGAACATTTTCCAAGGGAGACCCTGCTGTGAAGTTAGACAGGGGACAGTTGAAGCCTGGTCTGTAGTTTAGCAGAATACAAGATGACAAATTGGGATGGGGAAACATGAAATACAGTAGAAAAATCTCACACCATTTCTCTGTGAAAAAAAGTATTTCCAATAATGCCACACCTATATGCTTTTCCTCATTATTTAGAGATTAATTCTGAAAATGTTAAGACTATCAAGACAATGTCTAAATGAAATTTCTGATTCTGTTAATGCAACATAAGACACGTTCTCAGAAACTAAGCAACTATCATATGAGCTGCTCAAGTTTTCTTTGTTGGTGGTATTTTTATTGACAGAAGTAGTAAATTGTTTTGTAGACCTTTACATCTCCCTCTTACCCCAACCCTCCTAGAAAGAAGTTTCTCAATGGACCTAAAATGATATGAAATCCAGCATGCAAAATGTCTTAAAAATGAATCTCCATCTGTAGAAAGACAACATGAAGGAACAGGTTACCATGGACTATTCATTTGGACAATAAAAATAAAAATGTGTGAGTGGGGATCTTCACAAATGTCTCCTGCTCCCATTGAAGGCCATTCTCACAGATAAGAGACCTGAGCAATTGGCTAGTGTGCTATAAAGTAGGGTGTGATAGTCTCCATGAAACACCTGTCACTTTGCCACTCCCACTGCTGTAGCTTTGCTTAGCACTGAAACCAGTGAGCTGTGTCTGGCACTACCTGAACTGCAAGATGCCTCCAGATTCGACTCTTCCTCCTCCTCTCTCAGTGGCAGAGATCTGCAAAGTTATTTTATTGCTGGTTCAACTGTACTAGGGAAAGTGACTTGAGGGCAGAAGAGGAAACAAATGGAGAGGGAAAGGGAAGGAGAGAAGTGATGTTTAAGACAAGGAGAATGACAACAGGGTTTGGAAGAACAGAAGACCCAGAGAGAGAACGCAAATGAAGAGGGGAATACACAGAAAGAAAAACAGTGATCTGGCAGCTACTACCTAACTTTAAGAAGCAGTGCTTTCTGATTGTTTGACAGACAACAACTGGGAGGCCCACTTCAGATGAAGAATGGTAAGCAAACAGAAGAAAATATAGATATGTAGAAACATTAAAAAAAATAAAACAAAAAACCCAGGCATCATTCCTTTCATCATTGAAACTCTCTCAAATTAAAGACTTTTCCAGAATTTGTCTTTCTAGGCAGCAGATGGCCATCATCCAAGTTAGAATTATTATTGCTACTAATTAAATTTCTTCTTTTTGCATTTCTCACACTCTCTTGTCTTCCCCATTTCAGGCTCAATCAGTTGTACTGATTAATTTCCTCTGCACTCCCTAAGATGACCAACTTTAAAAAAACACACAATAATATGGATTCTAGAAATTTCTTCCTACTAGAGCCTTCAAATCTGGGACTGCCAACTTCCAGCAGCTGGAACTGTGTATGTATTAAAAGGGAGTCCCAATTTCTTGTCTTCTTGAGAGCTGTTTGACCACAAGACAGCCCTGATTCTCATCACTAAGGTTCACTAGATGAACAGTTACTAGAAGACTGAAGGAAGGAGGAAGCTATCCAAGACTATCACAAACTGTGTAAACATAAAATTGGTATTCTTGACATTTTTAGCTGTAACAAACAATGTGATTTTGCTCTTTCCTTTTACTCTGGACAAATAAAAAGGCAGACAATATTTTATTTACCAGGGTTAAAAGTCTGGAATTATTACTCCAGACTTCTCGCTAGATTTTTTTTATATGCTTGTCTTTTTTCCCCCCTCCCTCTTCCCCTGCCCCTTTTTCTTCATCTTCTTCTTCCTCTTCCAGGACCCAAACTGTAATCTTTCCTCCAGGCCATACTCCTTTGGCAATGTCTTAGTAAGAGAGTAAAAACTGAACTGTAAATGCAACTGCCTGATTTCCATTCCGTAGACCCAGGGCCAGCTCCAGGGTTTTTGCCGCCCCAAGAGGCGCAAAAAAAAAAAAAAAAAAAAAGCCGCGATCGCGATCTGCGGCGGCAATTCGGCGGGAGGTCCTTCGCTCCGAGCGGGAGTGAGGGACCGTCTGCCGAATTGCCGCCGAATAGCTGGATGTGCCGCCCCTCTCCGGAGTGTTCGCCCCAAGCACCTGCTTGGCAAGCTGGTGCCTGGAGCTGGCCCTGCGTAGATCCGCAACCATGATGGCTAGTGTCTGCTCAGAAGGGAAAAGTAGCGTTTTTGCTAGTGGCCATAGAGCACTGCCTAAGCATTCTCTAGCAGTTCTCTTCTCAGCAGCAGCAGCATGCATGTCTTTTGAACCAATTCAATCACCCAATATAACATGGCTCAAAAAATGAAATCTGATAGGGGGATTTTGAGTATGCTACGGGCAGGTCCACACTGGGGCGGGGGATCGATATAGGAAACGCAACTTCAGCTACGAGAATAGCGTAGCTGAAGTCAACGTTTCCTATATCGAACTAAATTTACTTACTTCGGGTCCACGCGGCGCAGGCAGGCTCCCCCGTCGACAGCGCTTCCTCCTCTCAGCGAGCAGGAGTTCCGCAGTCGACGGGGGAGCGCTTCTGGGATCGATCTATCGCGTCCAGATGAGACGCGATAAATCAATCCCAGAAGATCGATCTCTACCCGCCGAATTGGGCGGGTAGTGTGGACCAGCCCTAAGTGGGCTTCAGTGTCTAAATGAAGTGCTTGGCTATTCCCAAATAGAAATTCAACTGGAAAAGAATTTCCAAGGGACTTTAGCAATTGTAACAACTAATTTGAAACAAAAAGAGATGCATGTAATTAAAAAAATAGATTATTAGCTTGTTAAACCTACATAAATTCACTGTACACAACTGGCAGTGAGAGGTACTGGTAGCTGAGTGGGAAGAAATAACCTTATGATTTACTGTTCTGTAAATACTCGTCTTTATTTATTTCCTTAGCCTCATTGTCAGACCAAACCCCTGTTTTCTTCCTAATGACCAAGTTTTATTTTAATTTTCAATGAAAATTATTCCTATAAAATTTATATACAAATAAAGGGGGAATTTCTTAGGGCCAGGTGATCTAAATAGTAAATGTGCCAATAAATGGCTAAATGACACTTGATGATATTCAGACAATGATTGTCATCCTATTACCTCCATTGCAGTCTGACTCCATAATGCTGCAATTCCAATAACTGCTGATAATGTCAGTAATTCACAATCAAAGGAAAAACATTTACAAGACTCAAAACTACTGCTGCTTGAAAATTAGTCCCAATTAGTTTCCAAACTGAAAACTATCCTTTCCTCAGGACTCTGGTTCATTTTTTGCTGCTTGCTTACGGCAGAGGCAAATACGCCGCTGTTCATTTTTGTCAACAACCTCAAAAGCTTCTGAGTAAAATTTCCAAAAATACTTAATTGATTTAGGAGACAAAGCTCAGTGAGACTTAAACTTCTAAGTGCCGAAGTCTCTGTTGAAAATAGGACTTAGGCACTTTTGAAAATTTTATCTTCTGCCATCTTTTAATAAAAGTAAATAATAATTAAGACAGAGAACATTAATGCATCAAAAATGCATGCCTACCCACATAAGCAAAATCTGACATTACTGTAACCTTTATCCTCTCTTCCCTCTACCTTATTCTTATTTTTTTAGGCCTGGTCTACATGAGAAAGTTTCACCAGTCATGTCACCCCGTGCATACACTCTTATTCTAGTCTGAGAATAAAAAGTGTCCTCACAGGGGATTATAGCAATATAACTACATTGGTTTAAATTCATGTTAGCTTATGCCAGTCTAACTTTCCGGTGCAGACAAGCCCTTAGTTTACTGGTTGGGTCAGGTATCTATTTTGATTGTTAATTCTTCAGGGCGTGGGCTGAGTCATCTATCTATCAAGTATCTAGCATACTTTTGATGCAAATAAATAATAACAAATACTATCATTCTAAATATGCATGCTGTTTTATATGCTGCATCATCAAAACAGGAGTGACTTTTTCTCATGCAGAACAGCCACTCTGAATGTAAAAACTAGCCATGTTTATTTTCATTTCTGAGGGAACCAGACCCCCATGGAAACAAACTATGGTTAATAGTTTAGTTGTCTGGTGCCAGTGGCTGGGATTTCCTATTGTAAAGTGATGCATTAGTAAAGATGTAATAGAAATAAAATTATTTATTGTTGTCAAAAGCAAAAATCCAGTTAATTTTACCAATGCTCATTGGTATCAAGGAGTATTGGAAAGTAGTAACCTAACAGCATGCAGAAATAACCTATCCATTCTCCAGACTTGAAGTGCTGAAGGTTCACATTGGATGGATGGATGGACTGTGCTTGTGTCTTGGAGTTGCCTATTAGTGGACACAAATTCTAGCCTGTATAATTCTTTTGAAGACTGGAAGTGGGAAAAAGTTAAGTTGTACAAAAGAAATAGCTTGTGAGGAAAAGATTAAATGAAAAGTTAAGTCAAATATCCACCTTTAGAACAACCAAAAAAAAAAAAAAATACAGATGCTGTCTAGTTATTCTCTTATTGTCCTTTTTACATTATGGATTTTACACAAAAGTTCTCATAGCTGATTACCTCATGACAGATGAAGTTAAAAAATGTGTGTATATATTTGCTTCTGATTTATAGAGCAACTATATCAATGTTCTGTATGCATTTATATTTCTCTAAAATATAAACAGTATCTTGATAAGACAAAACATTAGAACTATAATTCATCCTTTTTTATTGCTTGTATAAAGATAGGTGCAGAATCTGTTCCCTGCCTCCAATACATTCTCTATTATTAGTCCCCATGACATTCCTAATGTAGAGCTTTCTACTTCTTACCTGCCAGAAGCAATATCAAAAATACTGCAAAGAAGTCTGGATACTCTGCTAGACCAGAAAAATCCATTCTGAAGTAGGTTCTGAAAAACTGACCAATTTGTTTTCCAAGGAGTTCATCAAAGGTGCCACTCCACGCTCTTGCTACACTGGATGTACCTTCATAAAATACAAAAAAAAATACAAAAAAATAGGATTTTGCACAAACATAATGGTACAACAGTTAGTACTATAGAAATAACATGTTGCTATTTGTATTTAGGAAGATACAATTATTGTTAAACAAGTGGTCTTTTTCTCCATAGATTTTATTATAGCAATTCATACCTACAAAATTATAGTATAATATATTAAACTACAATAACAATATCCTAATTTACTGCATTAGAAAAGTTCAAGTAAACTCTTCTATAATAGCTAACTTTGATAGCATAATAATCAATAATAATTTTTCATTTAGAGTACTTTTCATTATATTATTTCATTATATTATACTTTTATTTAATCCCCAAACATTCTGAAAATTACAACTGATATAAAATTAACTTCCCTCTGTGCTGGAGTGCAGCCACTTATAAGGTGAACCATGGTATGGCTTTAGCAATGCACAGTAATACCACACAACAGTTTAGGACAGGAGTTGAAGAATAATTTTTCCAGCTGTAATTACAGAAGTTTTAGTAGGCAGAATGAAATTGCCAGAGTTTGAATTTAGCCAGCATGCAAAGGTTAATCCCCAACTCTTGAAAAAACGCTACAGGACCACATGCAATCAAGACCACATTTTTATATCACTCTCAAAAAGCAACATCAGCAGAGTGTCCCCTAATATAATACTTGGATGTACTGGGTGAGTTGTGATATAAGCCATGGTCCTGCAATTGAACCTGCACATGCGGATATGTGCACCCACACAGAACATCATTAACTTAATTGACTCTGTACTGGTAGTACTCTGTGCCTGTGCAAAGCCTCAGTTGCAGGATCACAGTACTGGAAGGAAACATGATACTTGAGTCACAAATATCACTTCTTCCATTCTTCCTGACTTACTAGGGTGTCTCTCTGAATCTCTCCCATCCAAGCACTGACATTTCCCAGTCCCAATTAGCTTTATATATGATAGGCTATCAGCCCAAAGCTGGTATGTCTGCAGGACACTACATCATTGATGGAGTTACATCAATTGATACTTACATTTCATGATTTGTTTTCAAGTGTAGTTCTACACTGATGGCACCGTCCCTAGATCTACTAACTGTTTGTATCCAGAAACATTTATACTTACTGCTTTTACTCCAACTAGCCCTGCGGAGCCAACACAGCAATGAGAAACTGAATTAGGGTCTATTTTTTCTTTTGCATCATCAACAGAATTGTTTGCCACTATTTTCCAATTAGGTACACTTGTTTAAGCTGTTGAAGAGAACTGGTTTGCAAAGGCCTCACAAAGTACCTATTTTGGCTTGAAGAAGCTTTATTACAGGGGATGATGCATGAGAAGGAAATAACCCAGCCTGACTATCAGATGCCAGGGTGTGTCTGAAGTAGCAGCAGTTAAGAAAAAAGAAAGAAAGAGCCCAAACCTACATTTTATTTCTAGTTTTCCCAGTCACCCCATTAGTTTTACACTGGTCTCCCAAACTTACCTATAACGTATGATAAAATGAGATTCCAGCCAGTGATAAAAGCCCACAGTTCACCAACAGTTACATAAGTATACAAATATGCAGAACCAGTCTTGGGAACACGAGCACCAAACTCAGCATAGCAAAGACCTGCCATCACAGATGCCAAGGCAGCAATGAGGAAAGAAATAACAATACTAGGTCCAGAATCTGCTTTTGCAACTTCTCCAGCAAGTACGTAAACACCAGCACCAAGAGTGCTTCCCACTCCCAGAGCTATAAGGTCCAGAGTGGATAAACATCGGCATAACTTGGAATCTTCAAGACTGTCCACAGTGACAATTTTTCTTCGCAACAAACACCGAACAAATGACAGAACAGGTCCACAGGGTATCATTTTGGATGTAGAACTAGAAAAATAAAATAGGTCATTAAAAAACAGAAGGTATAATATAAACAAACCGTCACAATTTAACCTTCCAAAAGCCACTTTGCTGATGGATAATACATTTTGCATTTAAACAAAATTGTGGATCATTAGCAATAAATAGTTTATACAGAAATGTCTTCCTACCTCCTCTTTTCATTGCTTTGTCAGATTCAGTTTACTTTTTGACTTAGCTGACTGACTGGAAATGTAAAATATACTATATGACAACTGATTGTGATTACAGTTTTAATTAACTTTAAAAAAAAACTCTAAAAGATGAGAGTCTGCAAGCTAATAAAAACACTTTAGAAATATTTTGTGATGACACACAAAAGATGCTACAGGGGTTTGGGTATCTAAAGACAAGGAGAAAGATTGTTAAAGAAATATGAACTGTCTGAATGTGATTCAACATACCCTCCTTGCAAGATAAGATCACATTCATGCATGTACACTGTTCCATGAAAGTAAACAGAATTAGTGATTTCTCAACAAAATAGAAGAGGTAGCAACCTTACCCCACTTTTGTTTTCAGCTCTCACACTCTTTTCAGAAAATTTCCATCATATTTAAAACTTAACAAGGTAAAACGAGAGCAAATAACTTATACTTTATTATTGATGGTTTGCCCTCAACCTTCCCTACAACAGAATCAAAGCGGACAGCCACCACATATCATACAGCCTGTAAGCTGCTTTACCAATGACATAAATAGGAGCAGGAGCAGCACCAATATTCCTAAGGATTTTGTATTTTCAGATTCATGGCTACAAATAGCAATCTTTTATAAAAACTATTTTGATGGAGCCAGAGCAATTCATGATTAGATTCATACGACATGGAATTTCCTTTTAAAGTTCTCTTTAGTGAAAGCGGTTTAATGTCAATTATTGGAAGATTTGTTTCTCTCCCTTCTCCTATCAACAGCATCCCAAAAGTAATTAATTCTGGAATATGACCAAAAAATTTAACCTTGTAATTATCTAATGAAGATTAAAAAAACACAAAAATATGTATTTATCATACAGTAACTGTGGTTCTTCAAGATGTTGTGGTCAGTATGGATCACACTGCAGGTTTGCGTGCACGAGATTGGATTGCTTTGAATAGCAATGTCTGTCGGTGCCATGCACATGCCCTGCTCCTCCTCATGCTCCTATGCCTGGGCATTAAAGGTGGAGCAGCCCCAAGCCTCCCTCCATTCCCTCACAATTCAAAGTCCTTGTTGCCGAGAACTCCAAAAACGGAGAAGAGCAGGTAGTGGGGATCTCAAAGAACCAAGTGTTAGGATATAGATATTCAGGCCTGTCTGTAAAGGCCTATACTTTAAGAATTTGGGTATATGTTTATCATTTAGCTAGTTATAGAGGTATAAAAAAGAATCAAAATCAGTGTCTGCCTGTATAGGGCCTTTTCTCACTGTGACAGTCTGAGGCCCTGTTCTTAGGCTAAGGATAAGCAGCAGAGGCAGCCATAAGCTGGAAAGTGTATGGTCACATACTCACATTCCAAACTAGTCAGATTGAAATAAGATGCTATTGGGCTGTGAGGAATACAATCCTGTTCTGATAGTGCCTATCACCTCCAGAGAAAGGGAAGAGCCTAGAAGATTTAAAGAAAACTTAGTTTGATAACATTGTGTGTGGCAAGAACTCACTTATCAATAGCAAGTGTGTGAAATCCTCATTTCTTTGTTGTTCAATCATTGTAGTCTCCACTTCCCTATTGTTTGTCTGTATAATCTCTCTCTGGTTCTGTGATTGTTTCTGTCTGTAATTTTGTTGGGTGTAAACCAATTAAGGCAGTGGGATATAATTGGTTATATAATCATGTTACAATATGTTAGCATTGGTTAGTTAAATTTCAGTAAAATGATTGGTTAAAATATAGCTAAGCAGAACTCAAGTTTTACTATATAGTCTTCAGTCAGTCAATCAGGAAGTAAAGGGGTGGGGAACGGGAACAGGGAATGTGGGTGGGGAAATTGGAATCATGTTTTGCTAAGGGGGGGGAATGGGAACAGGGACACAGGCAAGGCTCTGTGGTGTCAGAGCTGGGAAGGTGGACACTAAGGAAGGAAATTGGAATCATTGCTTGCTGGAAGTTCACCCCAATAAACATCAAATTGTTTGCACCTTCGGACTTCGGGTATTATTGCTCTCTGTTCATGCGAGAAGGACCAGGAAAGTGAGCGGGTGAAGGAATAAGCCCTCTAACATCTTGGTGCCGTGACTCGGATGCATCGCATCAGATAGGTGAGTGGCAGCCTGCAAGTCCCCCTCCCTGACAGTCCACGCAGCTGCTTGGAGGGGGTATAGAGAACTCTCGTGATGATAGTTGCGGGTTCTGGCAAGCCAGGGTAAAGGATTTTTTGGATAAATGGATAAGGAAGAACCAGGGCCCACACCAGGTGCAGGGGTCATAGATTCATAGATTTTAGGACTGGAAGGGACCTCGAGAGGTCATCGAGTCCAGTCCCCTGCACTCATGGCAGGACCAAATACTGCCTAGACCATCCCGGATAGACATTTATCTAACCTACTCTTAAATATCTCCAAAGATGGAGATTCCACAACCTCCCTAGGCAATTTATTCCAGTGTTTAACCACCCTGACAGTTAGGAACTTTTTCCTAATGTCCAACCTAAACCTCTCTTGCTGCAGTTTAAGCCCATTGCTTCTTGTTCTATCCTTAGAGACTAAGGTGAACAAGTTTTCTCCCTCCTCCTTATGACACTCTTTTAGATTTCTGAAAACTGCTATCATGTCCCCTCTCAGTCGTCTCTTTTCCAAACTAAACAAACCCAATTCTTTCAGCCTTCCTTCATAGGTCATGTTCTCAAGACCTTTAATTGTTCTTGTTGCTCTTCTCTGGACCCTCTCCAATTTCTCCACATCTTTCTTGAAATGCGGTGCCCAGAACGGGACACAATACTCCAGTTGAGGCCTAACCAGTGCAGAGTAGAGCGGAAGAATGACTTCTCGTGTCTTGCTCACGAGACACCTGTTAATGCATCCCAGAATCATGTTTGCTTTTTTTGCAACAGCATCACACTGTTGACTCATATTTAGCTTGTGGTCCACTATAACCCCTAGATCCCTTTCTGCTGTACTCCTTCCTAGACAGTCTCTTCCCGTTCTGTATGTGTGAAACTGATTTTTCCTTCCTAAGTGGAGGTCAGCTTGGGATGAGATTAAAAAGGAAATGGAGGAAATGTTAGGGGACCCAGAGGGATGGGGGGTGGCTGAGCCCACCCTCCTTCGGTATATGGGTAGTGGAAGAAAGTCCCTGCCCGTTGGGACTGAATGCCTTCCAGGGAAAGGAGGCACTTCAGTCCACTTGTGAGAGGTTTGAAGTAAGGGCAGCATTATGGGAAGCTGCCAGTAATCTTTCAAGTTTGGTGGTGTTTCAGCAAGGGCTGCTGAAGGGTTGTAAATTAGTTAGGGGTGGTTAAAGATGATTTGGCACAACAGGGTTTAGAGTCAAAAGCTGAGTTAACAGTCTACCTAGAGACTGGAGCTGGGACTTGGTCCTGGGGGAGTGGAGAAAAAAAAAAGATTTCAAAGTGAAAAATGGCAGGGTTTGCAGGAGCAGGTAACAACCCCAACTGTTTCAACCCAAGCAGCCTACTCTTGGCTCAGAGCTAACTATATCCTTTTCTTCTTCTCCTTCTTTTTCTCAGTTTACTTAATTTGCTGCTGGTAGCCTGTACTTTAAACTGACCTGACAGGCTTAATTACGTGTCAATGTGGATCTCACTATAAGTAACTGGAAGGCTGTATCCCTTCAGGATGGTGGGAACAAGGAGTTTCAGCTGCATCAGTTGAATAGTGGTTGTAGTTTGGTATCTTGAATTTGACATCTGCTCTACCCAGGAGTGTCGGAACCTTGGTAGAAGTGGGGGTGCCATGAGGTCCTGCCCCCTGCTCCTCTCATCCCCCCGAGGCCTTGCCCCCGAGCCAGGCAGGAAGCCGGAGCCGGGCAGTGTTAAGAGCCACCCAGGGAGCCTAGGCCGCTGTGGAGAGCCCCAGACCTTCCACCTGCCATGGGCAGGGGGCCAGGGTGCCCAAGAGCAGTCCATACCTGGTGTCCCCTCCCCCGGGATGCTGTCCAGGGCAGGTGGAGGTCCAGGGCTCCACACAGTGGCCTGTGCTCCCTGAGCAGCTCTTACACCCAGCTCTGACTTCCAGCCTGACCAGGGAGTGGGGCCTCATGGGGAAGAGGCAGAACGGTGTGGGGCCACAGAGAGGGGCTGGGCCTCGTGGCGAGGGGGGTTAACGCCCACCTGAGCCCACCCCACCGGGAAGAGGCTGGCACTGCTGGCAGGAGCTGTACTTTGCGGCAGGGGAGCTGATCACCTTATCACCACTCCATGCCTGCCCAAGGCTTGCAGTTTGGGGGGCAATGCAGCCCCGTCCCCAAACTACAGCCATGTTTAAAAGTGGGTGAGAATGGCCCTCCGGCTCCTGCAGTTCTGGCACCCCTGGCTTTACTCACTAAGTCCAATGCATAATGCTTGATAAAGGTCAGTGGATTACTCCATGTTGCTGCCTGGCAGCTCTCAGAAATTGGCACATTTCTGAAGGAGGCAGAGGATGTTGTTGAACGGGAAAGTTACAGCAGAGTTCAAGCATCAAGACTCAGCAACCAACTGATAACTCGGCAAGAGACATCGTGATATCAATTTTGGTATTCTCTGCAAGGAGAAGGCTTGACCTTTAGAATGCCCAGATGTGGCTATAAACAGATGGGGTGACGGTTTTTGTCAATGTAATAAAGCAGCATCCTGGGCATATGTAGTGTGTGTAATTTCTTTACTTCCTGTGCCAAATGTGGATTCAGGAAGAAAACTGGCAGGTTGGTCGACTGGTTTTGATGAAATTCTGAGACCCCCTTAGGAATGAATGTCAGGTGAGGTCGCAGCACTTCCTTGTCCCTCTGGAATGTAATATAGGGGGTTCAGCTACCAACTTCCAAAGA